ATAAACGACAACGAAAACACAACAAACGACAGTCCCCAAAGATTATTTAAATATAGGCAGCATAGAAGCACAGGGTCTAGAACAGTTCAATAAGTTGACTTTAAGTTCAATTTATTTTCCCTCCAAGTGAAACACATTTTTCAGGGAGACCAATCCAGCTCAACACTTGAACCATCACTCTCTATCCCTGTAGGGTCGCTCTCATTAAAACTGCACAGAGGTTGTTTTATTAGTTACAGAGAAAAAATTTCGAGTCTAATGCTAATTGAAACATTCATCACTTACTATGCTGCCCTGAACTCATAAACATCCTGGTAAAGGGCATTGAACTCAAATCTAGAGATTCCTCCAGCATCCTTAATCTTATCTCGTTGGTTTTTATGTACTTGCATTTTACATAGTTTTAGCACATCTTTTATGCATCTTTTGCATAGTTTTAGCTTCCATTTGCATCATATCTTGTTCCTTTTCTCTTCTTATGCATTCATGTTAGTTTTAGGTTGCATTTGCATACATATGCATGTTTGGTCCTTTGAAATAGGTCTTTTGGAGCATTCTGGAGCATATGGGACATAAGGAGCATGGAGGGACTTGGCACATGGAAGCAGCTCAACTGGATACGCAAAGGAAGAAGGGAGAAGCCATCTTGAAGACCAGCTCGACCGTCCACTCGACCGGCCAAGCTTCAACTCGATCGAGCTGGGGAGTCAAAGTCAAACCCGAAAAATGTTGCTTCCCCCTTGACTTTCCTTTGACCCTAAACCTAATCCTCTTTGTATTTAAAGGCTCTAAGCCACGAAAAAACCACCAAGCTTTAGATTATCTTTTGTTTTAGCTTCTCTTTAATTTTATTGTCTTTTACTTTTAGAGACTAATCCCATCTTTGTGTTCTTGAAGCTCTTGCTTCTTGAATCTTAGATCCTGGATAATCTTCTTTGTATTTGCACTTGCTTATTTCAATAAAAGTTGTTTAATTTCATCTCCTCTTTCTTATGATGTCTCTTTTATTGCATTTGCTTGTGTTTACATTCATGTGTAGTGAGTAGTTACCCATTAGGGTTTGAGATGGGTAGATTAGAGGTTTCATATGCTTAATCTCTTCTAGCTTATGGTCTTAATCTAGATTCTCTCTCTTTTGGATAGATCTTAAGGCTACATGACCACTACCCCTGGCTTGTAAGTCCTTAGGCGATCCCCACACGGAAGTGATGGCATTCGCTGGAAAAGATCCACTAAGAGCTCCAATATCTCTTGCTCTAGACAATAGAGGTCTAAGGGGTTGGATGGATTAGTTTGGGCAATGATCCTATAGCCTCCAAGGTTTGATTCTCACTGGCTAACCCCCTGTTTCTGAGATCATTCCTTGGTTGATAGCCTCCACCTTGGGAAAGGGTTGGCTAGGCATTGAGAAGCCCAATATCAAGAGAAGCCTTGATACAAGGAGTTTTAAGAGCTAGATTGATTAAGTGTAGATTCCTTTGATTGCAAAACCCTGTCTTGAACCCTAATTCTCTCTTATTCTTATTAAAGTCGTCACCTTTACTGTCTTTTTCGCTAACTCGACCCACAACTCGATCGAGCTCGGTGCTCTGTCCCAACTCGACTCGAGTCCCTGGTCGAGCTACTTATTTACCTGCTTTGTTTACTTTTATTGCACTGCATTTTCATTTCTTAGGCTGTTAGTGTTACTTCAAATCTATAACTGCTTGCTTGACTTCTAGTTGTTTCATATTCTCATAGAGTGACAAGATTTCCCATTTTGGATTGATAACCTCTTATACTTAAATGACTATGATGGTTAAGAGGAATGTTGATTGATTGTGATTGCACCATTTCATCTTTATTCACCCCTGTTTGCATTCCACCTCATATCTTATCATCCTTCATTTCACTTCTTATCACATCCACACACAAACTTTTATCATCAATTTGGAGCCGTTGCTTGTTGCTGATACAATGGATGTACCAGAAGGGAATGGAAACCCTTTGGGACATGGACTCGGTCGAGCTAGGCAAACTCGACCGATTGGTCAAGGAGATGCTCCAAACCGCCACCAACAGAGACAAGGGATTGTTCCACCACCAGTGCAGAACCACAACTTTGAGATCAAGCTGGGAATGATCAACCTTGTCCAGAACAAGATGTTCCATGGATTGCCAAGTGAAGACCCCATTGACCACCTTGATGAGTTTGATAGGCTTTGTGATTTGACAAAGATCAATGGTGTCTCTGAAGATGCCATCAAGCTGAGACTCTTTCCTATGTCTCTAGCTGACAAAGCTCACCAATGGGAGAAGAGCTTGCCCCATGGCACAATCACCACTTGGGATGAATGCAAGAAGGCCTTTCTTGCTAAATTTTTCTCCACCGGTCGCACAGCCAAGCTTAGAGGAGAGATATCCAGCTTCATCCAGCGAAACAATGAGACATTCGCAGAGGCTTGGGAGAGGTTCAAAGGCTACACAAGTCAGTGCCCACACCATGGATTCAACAATGAATCACTACTCTCCACTCTTTATAGAGGATGCTTGCCTAGGTATAGGGAGATGCTAGACACAGCTAGCAATGGGAACTTCCTCAACCAGGATGTAGATGATGGCTGGCAACTTGTGGAGAACATAGCTAACTCAAATGGAAGCTATGGAGAAGAGTATGATCGCACCAACCGGAGCTCGACCCACCACTCGATCGAGTCAGACGAAAAGTTGAGAAAAGATGTTAAGGCATTGAATGAGAAGTTGGATAAGCTGATCCTAGCTCAGTCCACAATGAAGAAAGTCAACTTTGTGTCTGCTGAGGAGATGGAACCAGTCCAAGAAGGGGAGGATACACAATTTGCTGAGGTATGCTACATGAGCAATGGGCAAGGAGGTTACAACAAAGGATACTATAACTACAAGTCCAACCCTGCTATGTCATACCGCAACACTGATGTTGCTAACCCTCAGGACCAAGTCTATCCTCAACAACAAGCAGCTCGATCGAGTCAAGGACACAACAAGGGTATGGTCAAAAGAACAATTACCAAGGACCACAAGGCACTTTCCCTGGACAACAAATGAATATCCCACCAGGCTTCCCCCACCAACCGCCCCAGCCTGCACCTTCACAAGAGAATGAGCTCAAAGCAATGCTAAAGCAACTACTTCAAGGGCAAGCTGATGGGGTAGTGGACACAAGCAAGAAGCTAGCTGAAATAAACTCTAAGATCGAGAACCTCAACACAAGGGTTTACTCTCTGGAGAATCATGCTTCTTCTGTTGCTGCTGCTACAAAGCAAGGACAACTACCTGGTAAAGCTATTCAGAACCCCAAGGAACAGTGCAAGGTCATCTTCACTCAAGAAGGACTTGTTGAAGAAGAGGATCAAGAAAGGGTCATTGAAGATTTTTGTTTACTGCTGAATGATGAAGAGATTGTTGCTGCTGAGGCTCCTGGAGTCCAGATTGATCAACCAGAAGTGCATGCACCTACTGTGGCCATTCACACTTCACCAGTTGAGCTCGCACGACAAGCTCGATCGGCAGCTCGATCGAGTCCAACTCTAGCTCGATCGAGTCCGACCTCTTCTGTCCGACAGCCTGTTTTGCTTGATCCCTTATCAACCAGTTGCCGCTTCCTCGTCTCGCCTACTTAGTCAAGGTCACAAGGAAGTGATTCACAAGTTCAGAAGAGATCTCAGTGGGATTGGAATTGAGTTGCCTCTATGGATAGCATGAGTGAGGCATTTGATCAAATGCAAATGGTCAAGGATGTTCTGCCAACAGTGATAAAGTTTCAGAGGTCCTACAAGAGTCTACTCATCAGTTCAACCTGCTTACTTCACCCACCTTCCTACCAAAGGTCAAGGATCAAGGGAAATTCACTCTCCCTTGCACACTTGGGCATCTTGAGATTGACAATGCCTTAGTGGATTCTGGAGCAAGCATCAATCTGATCTCTCTCTCCATGGCAGAGAAGCTAGGCATAGCTGGAGCCTTGCAGCGCCCTACTACTTCAATCATCTTTGGAGATGCAACTACTAAGTCTCCTCTTGGAGTGTTCAAGAACTATCACTTGAAAATTGGAGAATGCATCATCCAAACTGATCTCACTGTGATGGAAATGGAAGAAGAGAAGGATTTGCCTTGTTATTGGGAACCCCTTTCCTTAGTACAGTTGGCGCTTCAATTGACTTTCACAAGCAAGAAGTGATCCTTCACAAGGTGAATAGTTTGGTGTCATATCGCTTGCAGCCTAGAGGTTCAGACTTTTGTGCCACAATTGACAGTACCAATCTCAGTTCTAAGAGTCATGGAGCTACAAAGGTTGTGAAGGAAAGGGTTGACAAGGAACCAAGAGTTGGGAAGGATAAGGATGAGAGAGGACCAAGGATTGAGAAGCCACGTCTTGAGAGGGCTAGAGTTGAGAAACCACGATCTGATAGGCCAAGAGCTGAGCGACTTGTTCAAGCCCCTTGTGTGCTTGATGAAGAGAGCCTTCAAGCTTTGTTTGATGAGCCACTAGGAAGGGCTCTACAAGAAGGGGAGGATGCAGCCTCTAAGGCAAGACCAGGAGATAAAAGAAAGGATCCACCAGCTCAGGCCCCTTCAGTCAAGCCATCTCAGCTCACAATGACTTTGTTCCCCACCAAGTTTGAAAATGGGAAGATTGAGTACAAGATAAGGTACAAGGGGAGATCAAGGCCATTCTCTAGAGCCAAGGCCATAGTGACTTCAGAACAGTCCAGGGACCCAACCAAGCTAAAGGAGCTTCTGTCTCAAGTCCTCACTATCACCCTTGATGGTGGGACTAGCTCAACCAATGCCTAAGAAGGTAAAGGTCAAGCTATGGGACCTTAAACAAGCTCACTTGGGAGGAAGTCCCATGTTTATCCTTGTACATACTCTATTTATGCAATTTCTATCTATCTTTATGTTTTTAACCTTTCAATAAGTTAAGTTTAGGTGTCAAGGAGCCAGCTCGACCCACGACTCGATCGAGCTAGAAACCAGGGCAACTCGATCGAGCTACTCAACTCGACCAAGGTAAGTTTTTGAATTTCAAATTCATAACCGTTTTTTGGTCAAGGGAGTGGGTCCCACAAGCTGATTTTGGTCCCCCACTACCCTAATTCGATCAGAGAATCCCTAGTTTCTTGTTCCCTCTTTATCCCATCTTTTAATCTCAACCACACATCTCAAACAACTCTCTTCCCCATAACTCGATCGAACCCACTTCTCTCTCTCCCACACTTAAATTTCTGAATCATCCATCTCTCTCTTCACCACAAGAAAAATCGATTTTCAATCCCTCTCTCTTAAGTTTTTGCGATTTCATTTGTTCTTCATCTTGTTTTGCTTAGTTCTTAGTTTACTGCTCTTCAATTCCATCATTCAACAAGGTATGAACCCTAAAACCCTTCACTCCTCCATCTCGATTCCTTTTGTTTGCTTGTTTCTCTTGATTTTGATTGCATGTGTCCCTTGTGGACTTGTTATTGAGAATTGCTTTCATTTTCGCCTCTGCTGTATAACTTGTTAGTTTTGCTTCACCTCACCTCTGTTTTGCCTTTAAACTTGTTGCATGTGCTTGAAAGGTTGAATTTGAGTTTGGTAATGGTTAGGTTGCTATGTTTTTCACTAGAATTGCTTATTGTTCCATTTACTAGTTGTTCTTGGTTCAATTTGATTGATTAGCATCCTTTCCAGCTCTTAATACATGAATTAGGTTTGGTTATACTCTGTTTTCACCAACTCGATCGAGTTTGTCACTCGAGTTTTTTGACTCGATCGAGCTGAGTGTCGAGTTGACCAAACCGATCATTACAACTCTAATTCTTTGAACTTTTGATGCATTTCAGGGACCAATCTAAGATGTTGAGAGGTGAAGGAAGCAAGCTAGCGTTCACAAGGAGGAGATGATAAGAGGAGCAAGGAGGATACTCAAAACACAAACCAAGGAGGACATAGAAGAGGTTGAGAGGGTGAGGGAAGAAAGGAGAACCAAAAGAAGGAATGATCCTCTCAGCAGTGAGAGCGAAGCAGGAGAGTTTGAAATTGGGGTGAACATCCCACATGAGGAGAATGATGACTCCCCAAGTGAAGAAGAGGGTGAAGAGATCAATCAAGAGATTGAGGAGAGTGAGCATGAGGGCAATGAGAATGTGCCCATGGAAGAGGAGGAGTCAAGTGAAGAAGAGGATGAGCTCCCCATGTACCAAGAGCACTATGATGCTCTTTCTCCATGGACTTCATGGACACCAAGTACCCACATGTTGACACCATGAAGGCCCTTGGAATCTTTGAAGATGTGGAGTTGGTCCTCAAGAACATGCACTTGGCCAAGCTCTTCTCTACCACATGGAATCCTACAAGGAGCTCACTTGCGAGTTCCTAGCTTCAATGAGGTACCACATGTATGAGGAAGAAGATAGAGCTGATTTGGACCAAGGATTGGGATGGATCACGTTCTTGGCTAAGGGAGAGAAGAGAATGGTGACCTTTAGGCAGCTGGAGATCTTGTTTGGGTTCAACTATGGAGAGGGAACCAAGTGGAACTTCAAGGAAAAGGAACTCCAAAGGGTTTGGGCTACAATCGCTGATGGAGTGTACTCTTCCTCAAGGTCAAGGCAGCTCAGATCAGGAGCCCAGTCTTGAGATATGTGCACAAGGCACTTGCCAACACCTTCTTTGCAAGGAAGGCAACCGGGACAATCAACGAGGGGGAACTCAAGTTTCTTGACATGGGAATCAAGCCCTTCTCTCACGCACAAGCGATGGCAAGAGGATAAGGGGAGATAGGTCTGACACAGGGAACTTGATGCCTTTCCTTGACCACCTCCTCACCTACAAGATCACAGCTTACAACACTAGGCACCAAAGAGGAAGAAAGCTTAGTATTGGAGGGCTCATCACACCTATCTTGTGTGCTGCTGGAGTAAACCCAACTGATAGGAGAGCTACTGAACCAGGTTGGATGGACATCAAGTTTTGCAAGACCAACCTCCTCATTGAGCACAAGGAGTTGGATGGGAGGTTCCAATTCAAGTTCACACATCCATTGGTGGACCCTCCAAGTTTCTCCTGCCTAACCCAGAGCTCACCACAGTTGTAAGGGGTGAGAACATTGATTTTCAGACCCCCTGTGTACACATTAGTTGGGCATGAGGATGATTGCGAGAAGAGGAGCCTGAGCTCGATCGAGCTGAGTCTGAGCTGAGGTCGAGCTGAGGATCGAGCTGAATATCAGGTCCAGGGAGCGCTGATTTGGGTGAGCCTGAGTGCTACTACTTTGAGGAGTATGAGGCTCCAAGGATGAACCCCTCTGTTGTGGCTGCCACAAGAGGATTGGACTTCTCCAAAAGTTCAACAAATGGCAAGGGAAAGCCATGAGAAGATGCAAAAGTCCATGGACAAGATGGTGAGCAAGATCAAAAGTTTGGAGAAGAAGGTTTCTGGTTCTTCAAGCAAGAAGAAGTCCAAGGCCCCCACTTCCCTAGGAGTAGGTCACTCCTCACCACCCAAAGAGGCTCCCTGCCCAAGAGCCTCACAGAGCCTCTTCTTTCGAGCCAAGAGAAGGAGAGGACAACACGCAGAGAAGGAGGAAGAGTTCAAGGCCAGACGCTCCAGCTCGACCACCGGACTCGATCGAGTCCAAACAGAGGAAACTCAACTCGATCGAGCTGACGGTCGAGTTGACCTGGAGGAGCCCCTAGTTTGAGAACCCTGGGATTCGAGTACGATCAACCCAGTACCAGGACTTCTCTCAGACCCTGGACTCCCTACAACCGCTTCGAGCGAGCACAACTCCACCAAGGCCAAGGAAGCCACACCCACTTTGAAGATGAAGAAGAAGAGGAGGAGGAGCCACAAGCTCGATCGAGTGAGCCGAACCCAGTTGAGTGGAGCGCTCCTGATGGCCGTCTCCCATCTCCAGACCACGACCTAGCCTCCCAGTTCTTTGGGGGGCACTGAGGTATCCAAACACCAACCCTTGTATATACCATTTCATATTTTCTTGCTTTGTTCTTGTTTTTTCTTGGTTTTGCCCTCTTGAATCTTTCACTGAATTTTTCTCACACAAGGGACTGTGTGATTTAAGTTTGGGGGAGGGTTCAAGAGATGATTTAACCTTGTTTTCTTTGTTCTTAGTTTTTCATTTATCTTTTGCATAGAAAAACCAAAAAAATCATAAAATTTTCAAAAAATCCAAAAATATTTTCATCTTTTTGCATTCATATTTGTTAGACTTGTTTAGGATTGCATTTTTCACTTGCATTGTTGATTTGACTTTGAAAACTTGTCCATCTTTTGCGATTTCTTGAGTGCCCTGTTTTTAGATTCTTTTGTGCATTAGGGTGAGATTGATTGAGCAGCAAGAACCATGTTTATCTTGATCATATCGCTGCATGCACATCTCATTCAACCATTGCTGTGATTTGATGCATTTCCCTATCTATTTGAACCATAACTTGATCTTTAATTACCAATGCTTGCATTTGATTTCAACTCATGGCTACCACATACATATCTGGACATTCTTTACCATTTCATATCCCTTTTGCTTGTCCAGATAGCTGATCTCTATCTTTGAGACAGTTACCACACCTTAAACCTAAGCCTTTTCATTTCAAACCCCTTATTATCTCTTGTGCGAATGTGAGAACCTTTCTTGGCTTTGCTTAGCATAAGGTGTTGTGTTTAAACCGGCAGGGGCAGTAGTTCTAGTTGTCTAGTTCTCTTGGGATTGTTTTCAGGCTAAGTTTGGGGGTGCCAACTCGAGCTCGATCGAGTTGGGTGTCAAAACCAGAAAAGTGGTAAAAATTGGGAAAAACCCAAAGTAAAAGAGTTTGGTTAAGTCCAGGGAGTTGGCAGTGTTAAAAAGGGTCTAGTAAAGGTTTGGGAAGTTAAAAAAGGAAAGTAAAAAGGGTTCTAAGTAGAATGAAAAGAAGGCAAAGCCTCAAGTGTCAAAAAGGAAGAAAAGTTCCCTAAGTGTTTAGAAAATCCCAAACCGCTAGATGTTACCTCAAGAAGCCTCTCCCTAGGAAGTTCTTAAAAGAAAAGTGAGCAAAGCTCCTCAGTTTCAAAGGCGAAATGCCAAAAAGGGTAGTTAGGATTTTGTTCTAAAAAGCTCTAAGTGTTGAACTCGATCGAGTTAGGATTAGGCGGCTCGAGCTGCTGTTCTTGCATCATCTTTGGTTCTAACACTTAGCCTTCTGCCAAAGCAAAGCCACTTTCTTGAGAGATCCCTGTTACTAAACCACCATACAAAAGAGACCCTCTTTGTCTCTTAACCCATAAACCCTTGAAACCAAATGAGTTGATTGATCTTGCATGTTTTTGGTTCACTGTTTTTGCTTAATGAATGTTAAAGGGATTTGCTGATTTGAATGCATTGTTTGAGTGACTGTGAAGTGGGATTGATGTTGATAAGCATGGTTAAATCTTAATGAATATCTCTCACCTTGTTGCATTCTAGAATCTCTAAGTTGGACATTTAGCAAATCGCTTTTGAGGACATGTTTTTAAGTGTTGAATCAGCTTTTTTCAAACCTCATCTCTTTCTTGTTCTATTTGTTTGCTTGAGGGCAAGCAAAGTTCAAGTTTGGGGGTGTTGATGTACTTGCATTTTACATAGTTTTAGCACATCTTTTATGCATCTTTTGCATAGTTTTAGCTTCCATTTGCATCATATCTTGTTCCTTTTCTCTTCTTATGCATTCATGTTAGTTTTAGGTTGCATTTGCATACATATGCATGTTTGGTCCTTTGAAATAGGTCTTTTGGAGCATTCTGGAGCATATGGGACATGAGGAGCATGGAGGGACTTGGCGCATGGAAGCAGCTCAACTGGACACGCAAAGGAAGAAGGGAGAAGCCATCTTGAAGACCAGCTCGACCGTCCACTCGACTCGACCAACCGGTCGAGTTCCTCAACTCGACCGGCCAAGCTTCAACTCGATCGAGCTGGGGAGTCAAAGTCAAACCCGAAAAATGTTGCTTCCCCCTTGACTTTCCTTTGACCCTAAACCTAATCCTCTTGTATTTAAAGGCTCTAAGCCACGAAAAAACCACCAAGCTTTAGATTATTTTGTTTTAGCTTTCTTTAATTTTATTGTCTTTACTTTTTAGAACCCTAATCCCATCTTTGTGTTCTTGAAGCTCTTGCTTCTTGAATCTTAGATCCTGGATTATCTCTTTGTATTTGCACTTGCTTATTTCAATAAAAGTTGTTTAATTTCATCTCCTCTTTCTTATGATGTCTCTTTTATTGCATTTGCTTGTGTTTACATTCATGTGTAGTGAGTAGTTACCCATTAGGGTTTGAGATGGGATAGATTAGAGGTTTCATATGCTTAATCCTTCTAGCTTATGGTCTTAATCTAGATTCTCTCTCTTTTGGATAGATCTTAAGGCTACATGACCACTACCCCTGGCTTGTAAGTCCTTAGGCGATCCCCACACGAAGTGATGGCATTCGCTGGAAAAGATCCACTAAGAGCTCCAATATCTCTTGCTCTAGACAATAGAGGTCTAAGGGGTTGGATGGATTAGTTTGGGCAATGATCCTAGCCTCCAAGGTTTGATTCTCACTGGCTAACCCCCTGTTTCTGAGATCATTCCTTGGTTGATAGCCTCCACCTTGGGAAAGGGTTGGCTAGGCATTGAGAAGCCCAATATCAAGAGAAGCCTTGATACAAGGAGTTTTAAGAGCTAGATTGATTAAGTGTAGATTCCTTTGATTGCAAAACCCTGTCTTGAACCCTAATTCTCTCTTTATCTTGTTAAAGTCGTCACCTTTAGCTTTTTTGTCTCAACTCGACCCTAAACTCGATCGAGCTGGTACTCTGCCACTCGACTCGAGTCTTGGTCGAGCTACTTCACTGCTTTGTTTACTTTTATTGCACTGCATTTTCATTTCTTAGGTTGTTAGTGTTACTTCAAATCTATAACTGCTTGCTTGACTTTCTGGTTGTTTCATATTCTCATAGAGTGACAAGTTTCCCATTTTGGATTGATAACCTCTTATACTTCAATGACTATGATGGTTAAGAGGAATTGTTGATTGTTGTGATTGCACCATTTCATCTTTATTACCCTGTTTGCATTCCACCTCATATCTCATCCTCATTTCATTCTTTCACATCCACACACAAATCCTATCATCAGGTTCCTATACGTTGGAAACTTAGCTAGTCATTGATAGTCGATTGTACTCTATCTAGATGCTATCTTATGTAACATTCCATCTATACAAATGCAAAACTTCCTAAGCAACTGTGATAAATACCTCTGTCCGTGTAAACCATCCAATCACTCATTGTGATGAATGTTTCGGTTCCACCATGCCTCCACCATTTATTGTAGAGTTGGATACCCAAAACTCCCCTGGCTTCACATTCCAGTGTGCGACCTCTAAAGATGGAAAGTATATATAGTTGATGATAAAAGTCGCATTTACAGCTTAATCTCATTTAAACCTAGGTAAAAAAATCATGAACTCTATCCACTATACTTACTCAAGATCCTTGATGGTGAATGTTACTCTTGAAGTTTGCATGTTATCACCTAGTGTAAAGGTGTGGTCTGTCACAACTTCTATTTCACCAACGCCATCTAGATAGCCTAGGAGATCTATTTCAAAGAATAGTTAGAGTGTATCTATATATTTTTTTATGAAATATGAAATGACTATTGATTACTACTTCAAGATAATAAGTTTTCACGAACATTAATAATTGCTCGGTTAGTAAAAACATACCAATTGGATAGTTGGAAGTATATACTCCATTCATTATGGACCGGAAGTTCTTGAAACTCATGTAATGGTCTGTGATGACACCCCATGACCTCTGCAGATTAGTATTACCTGTGAAGATGATGGTATGGTGATTCATAGCAAAACGAAATCCAGGAGGTGACAACTCTACGGTAAATCCAGTGATGATTTTCCAGTCGCCCTCGTGTAGCTGTTCATCAAATTCTCATAGAGACCATTTTCTTGACTGACCTTGGCAGGTATTTTTCCATCCTATCGATTAAACAATTTCTATTGTTAAAAGTACATAAAACACGACTAATAGCAGTTCCTATCATACCGAATAAATCAAAATGTTAACAAAAAAGAATGAAGAAGATAAATAAACTTACGTGATCATCTACCAAAAGAAAACGCAATATGTCACCACCTCCATCTATCATCTCAGACCATTTCTTCAAAACTCTAACTCTTATCGTCCAACCATTCCTATGAGGAGAAAGTTCGTTGATTTTCGATATAGTTGCCATATTTGAAGATTTGTTGTGATTCTCTGTTCTACAAAAAGACAGAGTGCTGAGTTATTTATAGGATGTCGAATTATGTTACCATTTCATTGTTATTCGGTTAGGAAAAATAAATATACTCTTCATACATTTAATATATCTGACCGTTTGGAAATGAAAATAAGGAAGACAGCTATTTCCAAAGTCCACAAAAGATGAACCTTTCACGTGAAAGTAAACATTTGCAGCTTTTCCTCTGTTCATAGAGGTGACAGAACTTGGAAATTAAATTTTACTCTTTTCGTAAATATGCAGTCTTCAATACATCCTTGTTCATGACTTTTATATCAACTGATTAAGAGTAGCATAAGTCTTCAATACATCCTTTCAGTCCGGTATTCTTCTGTGGATTAAAATTCTTGAACATTTTTATGTGTTTTGGCAGGTAGATACTCAGCTTTTGGGAACGGTTACCTATACTGGTTTATGACTCTCCAGAATATAAAGGTAAACCCTGTTATTGGACCAATATCTTGCTTTACTGACATTTACATTGAATCAGTATCTTCTGTGCCTGAATAAATTATATAAAAACATTTTCTGACTTAGTGGTTTCGAAAACAGTAGATCAACTGAAACCTTTAATCTTAACTTGAAAGTAAACTTAAATAACAATAGCATGGTTCTCATAGTTAAGTTACACATAGATAGCAGGAAAGATAATGATTTAAACATCCATGTCTTCAGATTCTCAATCATCATCGCTATCATCAACCTCAGCTTCTCTGTAAAAAGAAAACAATATAAAAAATTATCGATCATGGCTAGTGAGTCTTATGTAAGATAAGTCATTTAGCAAGAATGGACTTTCAAATTATAAAACTTACAATGTATTCTCGAAATGTTCCACCTCTAAGTGTCCGGTGGGATGGAAATCAAAAGTAGAGATACCAGGAGAGCTTTCAACATTTATACCACCTAGTTGTA